ACAGCTGCTTCCAGACGTGGCTTGTTAGAAAATCAGTACAGGCAGGGTCAGAGAAGAACTATTTCATATTTGCAAAACAAGCAAGAAAAAGGAGCAAAACAGCAAATTTCAGAGAAACCAGCCCCCAAAAACAGCAAATGTGAAGTTTTTGAGAAGGGTTCAAAGAAGAAACATGCCCGTGTGACTCTGCAGGGAAAAAACAAAGCATCAGCATAGCTGAAGAAATCAGCTCGCAGAGATCTGCAGCACACCAGCAGATAGGCTTTGCAGGCAGCACCACAATTCCCTCCAATGCAGGAAGCCTAATTTCTGTTTCAGCTATGCCCCTCCCAGGCTTCTCAGCTCAAATAAATGCTCCTTATCTTCAGGTCTGCCTGTTTACTGAAGTCTGCCTAGAGTGGTGTGACCCAGATTGTGGTTAAATACAGCCAAGCTCAGCACAGTAGCATGTCACCTCTCTGGACATGGTGCTTGGCATCCCAAAGAGCCTGTTGTCATAGTTCAGCTGTATCATATGCTCAGACTATATGGACAGGTAATATCTGGCCTAGACTGACTAGATCAACTAGTAAAATATCACTTCTCCCTTCTTTTTAGTCCTCTGTCATCTCAGTCCCTATATGCACAAATGGAAACGAATCACAAACATAGAAATGTTTTCAAGCGAGCAAAGGAGGGCACACTGAGTCTCACAGCAGGCTGCTACACCTGTCTCTAAATTATATATAAAACACTTTAATGCTGCACAGAGCATAAGTATTCAACTACTTACCTAGCTTGAATTCAAGCTAGGAATAAAATAATTTTTGCTCAGCATGAGACTCTCTGAGAAGGTGTGTCATGCTCCACAGCCCAGGTCCTGCATACCACTCCAAACCTGAACACAACCACAATGAAGCAATTCCTGCTTATTGGGACATCTCTGGCTCATAGAGATCCATCTGGCTACATGTGCTCTTTAAAAATTAACATTGCTGAAACAGGGCAAATAAACAAAGGAGGTCAGAATCACCTGCAAATACTTTACCAATGCAAGATCACTACGACCATTCACTTCAAACAGCAAAACCTCATAGTTAGCACTAATTTAGCCAGCAAAGTAGGCAAAAACTCCACCATGATATATCTGCAAGTAGCACCACAAGCTTTACAATTAAGATGTGCAGTCATGACCACAGCAAGTTAAGATCACAGGAGCAGGACATGGTGCTCCCCATGGGCACTCCTGAACTCAGTGGCCACAGAGGAGACAGATGCCTGACCCATGGAATCACATCCCTAATCAGAACACACCCAGAGGTCACCCCTGCCATAAAGAGGTGTTCAAGGCTCCTGCCATTTACTCGAAAAAGACTTTTTTCCATATGGAGCCACTTTAGTGCAAAGCAATCACAATCTTTTAGTTTAAAGAGCACATCCCTTAAGCTGTTTCAGGTTTTCCTCCTACAACACTAAGTCCTCCAATTAAAAAAGGGCAAAAGCCAGTCAGCATTGGAGACTGTGAATGTGAAAGGACTGAACTAGAAAGAACCCAAGAGAGAAGCAACTGCTCAACCTCCAAAGCCTTGTCAGCATCCATACTTGCAGATCAGCACCCCGTTTTCTGTTGGAGGAAGGTGTTCTGGAACAAAGTGTTAGCCTGCTCCCAACCATGGCTCTGCAGCTGAGGCCACAGCTCCGTACAAGGCAGAGCAGCAGCGTGTACTGACCACACCTGGTGGCCACCTCATGGATGGATCTACACCTGGGGAGTCCTCCTGGTGAGATGTCACTGCCACCCCATGGGGCTGCCAAACATGAAGTCCTTGAAAAGAGGCTGGAATGCTCTTGGGGGCAGCAGGAATGATGTTCTATACATTTGACCCATCTCAAAAGCCTGCAGTCAGTAACTGGGTCTCCTCTACCCTCCATACTTCCATACAGACTTCCAATTTCTTTATAAAAGGCCTGTCAGTTGTTATTAGAAAGAACATACGCAGATCTTACCTGGCACAAGCTTCTCTCCAGAAGAGACAAATGTTTATTAGTGGAAGAAAAAGGGAAAAGGAGGAATTAAAAACAGCCATGGGAAGTGTGAGAGGGTGAGAGAAATGAGTGAAAAAACACTGCTTTCTCAAGGTCACTAAAGAGCAGTCAAGGCCTGCAGTGAAATGCCAAGAGCTCTCAAAGGGCATGACAACGGTGAACTGAGCTTTTTACTTATTTCCACTGCTGAGAACAGCCCCCTCCTCATTGCAATGTTCATTTCCAACAAAATATGGAAACAAATACCCTGTTAGACCAAATTATTAAATTACCTTACTATCAGACAAGCTCGGGCAAAAGCAGTTTCTGTGGACAGAGCTGCTGTGAGTGGCCCATGTAGCCACACCTCCAACAAGGAGTTAAGGGGAAGCTATGAACTGCTGTAACCTCTCTTTCCCATTTGCTCAGGCATTTGCTCACTGAAACAGAGGCTACTGCTCTTTAACCTGTCTGAGAAACCTTTTCCCCTAACATAACCCCAAGATTCTGTGAAGCCCTCTCACATTCATATAAATATATATTAAGAAATCTACTTGAAAGCACTCATGTTGAAATTAGTCTGCAATCCCTTTGTTTAAAGTTGCTACTGTTCCACAAACGCTGTCTGCAATAGTAGTAGAATTGCTCAAGTACAGCTCCTGAAATGTGAAATAAAAAGCAACAATAGAACAAAGCCTCTAACTTGAACAAGGCAATCAATGTCTGCATGGGGTTTTTTTTCTGCATAAAAAGGAGATCGGATTGTTTTTTAACATAGTTGTCAATTATTTTTTCCAGCATGGGAAGACTCCTCTGATAAATTAAAATATTCATTAAAGCAGATGCTCTCAGCAAGCTTCTTTGGATGAACAAATGAGATCAACCAGAAAAAACACTCTTTGGCTGAATATGAGCATCACTAGTAAAATCACCAAACCATTTTTTGGTGGTATGTGTATGGTCCCCCTGTAGTATGAAGTCTCCAGGAAAATTTATTTCAATACTGAGTGTTGTGAACTCAGTGCATGGATTTAAGCCATCCAGCCATGGCAATGTTGCTGGTCCACTAGAGAAGACAAATCATGAGCTGAGCTGATGCCAAGACCTCCAAGACTGTTGAAATCATCTCATGTTTTACAGACCAAATTCAGTACCTGACATGTTTAAAAATACACAATTATTTTAATAAGTTTGTTTACATTTTAAACAAATCAGCAAACATTGTTAAAATTCACTTCATCTCAAAATTACAGAATCAAATATTCTGTGAAAATACTTACACCTTACAGTTTGACATTAATCAAACAGATAAAATAGTATCTGGAATGATTCTACTGATTTCTGCAGCTCACTGATAGAAAACATCCCAACCTACTCAAACAGTAAACAGAAAACAGTTATGATTTAACCCTTATCTCAAAATATCTTTTTGAAGTTACTTAGCAAAAATAAACACGTCTATACTTAAAATAAATGATGTACAATTACAACAGCTCTTATGCAACCTGTAGTATAATCTGTAAAAAAAAAAAAGCTTCTCATTTGACTGTGAGCCTGGTTCCAGACCTGTAAATAAAGACTGGTGATAAAGACTCTGGCTGCCACCATGCCCAGGGGAGATCTGCTGAACTAGACTCAATTTTGTCACAGAAACTCGCACGGCCGTAACTCAGACACACAAAAAAAGTAAATTACCATGGTACTTCAGAAAAAGAGGATACTACAGTCACTACAGTAAATAGCGTGTATATAAGAATTTGTACAAAATATGGGCTGACAGATAAATGGCATTTTAGGAGAAAGCATATCAGAGATTTCTATTTTACCTTGTGAAAATCAATCAAGTAGGGCTACAAAAGGAAAAACAACTATAGAGTTCAACAAAGTTCTCTATAAGATAGCAACTATCCGCTTCCAGGAAAAAAGACAAAAAAACCCCCAAAAAAACCAAACTTTCAGGGAAAAAAAAACCAAAAAAACCACCAAAAACCATAACTCTGAAACAGTTATGACTGTCCAAATCTGTGACTCAAGAAAGAAATCATATGAAGCAACTGAGAATTCACTAATACTTCTCCCTCCTGCATGAATTTAAAATGAAAGTTTTCACAGTTCCATTGACGCAGTTTAACAGTCAGAAGAGCAAAGCAGGGCTGGGAGGAGTTGGATTAGTCAAACAGTCAGTATTCTTAACAAAGTTCATTAATTGGTTATTTTGTGTCCTGAATGTAGGTGGTAAAAGGGTGAATTGTAATACAGAGATAGCAAATTTCTTTTTTTTTTTCAAACCAAGAACAACCAAAATACATTATTTCACTTTTCAGAACAACCATTCTAATGCAAAGTTGATGACATTAATGGTGCACTTTGTAACAGCCCATGGAGACAAAGCAAATTAGTACTTTGGCCTCTTTTGAATATCATCTTATCTGAGGCCTGGGGAGTAAGCAGAAGTTGCTAGTAATTAACTGTGGCCTTTAACAATAAAATTATAATAATCTTCCAATGCTAGATTTTGTAATAAAGGCATAGCTCCACGGTGGCAGAAGCACAAGAAGATACCAAAAATAGCTGAACACATCTTTAGCCATGAATGAGAAGCTTCTTGTTTTGTTTTATGTAATAATCACAGAGCATGAAATTTTGACAACTTGGCATGTTTTGAACTTACTTTTACTTCACTCATTTTTAAGAGCAAATGGCTGATGATGTCTAAAACCAACATTAAATGAAGGGCAGCTTTGCAGGAGTAGGAGATGGGATCCTTAAAGTGAAAATCTAAAGAACCTTCTTGTTTGAAACAATAGAAAAATACCATCATCCTACATTAATGAAATTTTTATTCAACACCCAGCTCTTCCATTTGATGGGGAAGCAGACAAACATATCCCTTAAAGAAGAACCTCAAACAACAGAGTACTCCTCTACTGCTTTAGAACTGATGAATGCACACCCATTTCTCCTAGACTTTGTAAAAAATCAAAAAACTGGTAGGAACCCTTAGCAGAGTGCCTCATCAGGAAGGGCCAGCCCAACCACTGCTCTTTCAGTTCTTCCAGGAATGGCTTATTTGTGTGCAATGAATAAGCAGATGCTAGATATCATTGGAGTACATCACAGTGAACAAATAGTGCCCACAGGCTGGGGTAGTACAGCAGCACACAGGCCCAATCCCTCTTTGCAGGTGTTCAAATGACACCTTCTTAAAAGCTTAACACTTTGTCTGGATTCCAGATATCAACCTCACTGCTAAGCAAAGTTGGAAACAACAACAGAAGTCATCAGTACAAAAAGAAATTGCTGTAATAGGCTTCAAAGAACAAACAGCTTCCGTGCTCCTCTTTATTTCGTCAGAGATGATTCGTTAAGGTGCTTTAGGGTTCTGCACGGCAGACAAGCTGGCAGAGGTGGCCATTCAATAAGCTCTGGAGTCTTTAGCGGTATGTGAGGGCAGCCCCGGGGCAGAGCCCTGACCTGCTTGCTAGTTTCTGTAGCGGGGCATCTGTGGAGCAGGGGCTCCCTCTAAGGGGCCTGAGGAGGAGACTGTCATCAGCTGCCCACCGTGAATTCTCTCATTCACCCGCAGGGCACAGCATCCTGCAGCATCCTTACAGCGATCCTTGCAATGTTTTTAGAGTCATCAAGTCCACTGTGAGGTCTCCCATCGTAACTCATGCCCAGATTTTCAAGCATGATTGTCAGCTTGGTCTGATTCCTAGGAACCTGATGGAGAAAGTGAGTAACATTCAAGGATTAGGTTGGGTACCAAGCCTTTTTAATCTAACACGGGGCAGTAGAAACACATGCAGATTTTAAGCCTACTTAAGTCACAAATTACTTTCATGTTGCCTTCTGTCAGATCACTTACCATTTAACTTCAAAGCACCTTGGTGAGACAGAGACTCTCATTTTTACAGAGCAGAAATAGTCAACAGGAGTTTGTCTAGACCTGGGACCTGGGTCAAGAGCCTCTGACCAGCACCAGCTCAAGATACACTTGTGCTGGCAAGGGTGGAAGCTGTGACCTAGACAAGTTTAACCATCTTTAGAAAAAACAAAAAATAGTGACATTGCAGAGGGAATCTGAGTTTGGTTTTCCTTTTAAATTCCTTCCTAATTTCCTTTTAAATTAAAGTGATTAAAGAAGCACCAAGCTCCTGAATGCCTTCAACCTTCACAGGATCTGATCAGCAACACCTACAGCAACCCTGTAATATTTGTCCAGCATAAAGTAAAGCTCTTCCCTAATTAAATGTCAATCTCTCTTTTATCTAGAGGTTACATTTAGTATGAAAAAGCCCTTCAAATAAAGACCATTAGCTAGGCTGAAATCTCTTTCAAAAAAAGTACTTTAGTGTAGGCTGATTGGGAATTTGCTAGAATCTCCAATAACTCATTTTATGGTAGTCTGACAGAAAGCAGCAATAAGGTCCAGCACTGAATTCACAATAAAAAGTCAGTATTACTTTTCTCTTGACAATTTGATTCCACTGTAGATACATCCTAATCTTTTTCTGCCTCCATTACACTGTCAAAAGTCAAGATTCTATGAGGGGAAAGGTAGAAATTAGTTTTATAGTGTATTGCATGAAAACAGGAAAAAATAATCAAAAAATCAAAACAGTCTTTTCAGCTGAACTATTTGATCTAAGAGGACCGGTGTAACATTTTTAGACAATCCTTCAAGGAGCACAACATGATTCTTAAAAACAAGATTAAAATCAAAATGCAGTAATTATATGACCTTCAATTAGTGAAGTGAGATCTGCACATGAAACATATTTGAAAATCAGGCACCAGGCAAGTAGTTCAAGTACTATAATTCTATACTACACAAGTAGAGATGACAAGCACAACAGGTCATTCTAGACTTTTAAACCAAAACTTCCCGTAAGAGAAATTTGTACAGACCTTGTAGACGTTCCCATATGATTTGCGAATATTGATCCACTTTTTGGCAAAAGAAGGGTATTTGATACGGCTAATATGGCACTGGATGTTCAAAAATTTACTCATATTCCAAGATCTTAGAAAGTCAAAAGAGGAAAATATTAGTCATATATAATCCTGTGTTCTGTATATTGCACTGGTGTAGAACTAAAAGCTGTCTTGTCTCTGGTGATCAGAATCAGTTTAGGAGAAGCTCATTTGCTGTAATCCTGGTAAAGAATTTTTTGATACGAATTTGTTAATCATGGGGGAAAAAATAATGACAGGAGCAAGACTTTCACCAGGATGGTTTCAGGTCCACAACAGTTAGGACAAAAAATAGCACACCAACTACCACATCAACACTGAAAACTGCCAATAAATTAGATGCTTACACAGCCCTCAGGGAAGCAAGCGACACCTTAAATCTTCCTGATTATTTGGGTATGCATTTATCTCTCTACTTCAGGTAGGTTATTGAAACTAGACTGCACCAAGTTTTATGAGAAACCAGATTTCTATGAAAATATGAAGAAATTATACTCCTGTTTATTTAGAAGCCTGCCTTCCTGAAGGGAACCACCCCAACAAGTTTGTAAGCTGCAAGCTAAAGTAAAGCTTTTTTTCCCCCATCTCTTCCAGTTGTCTATGCAATCTCACCTATACAACAGATATTTCAATGCACCTGTTTTCCTTAAGGAATTTTACTGAGGGGATTCCTCTGGAGGATAATTCCAGAGACATTTAGGTCCAGTAACATAACCAGTCTTGCATCAGCTTTTCTTTAGCATTTTCTTTTTTTAATTCACTGTTGCTTCCAAAGATAGCAATGTAGTTATAGGTTAAAAACTAAAAATTGCAGAGTGTTATTTTCAGGTATTATGTGCTAGATATAAATAAAGAATTACAGCAGCAACAAAGCATAAAGTCTTCAGCAGCACTCTGTTGCATACAGACCACTAGGAAAGAAATGGCGCCATCTGATGGATTTAAGCTTCATTTTGAACAGTTCAGCTTTACCAATTTTAACAAAAGCTTCAATTTAAATAAAACCAGCAAAATGGCAGTGTTCTGATCCATCTTTAGCAATGCTCTCACAAATATTAAATGTGGTTTTGCAGTTTTAGATTGTGCTGAAGGCTGCATAAGGACATACCCATCAGACAACATGGAATAGCTGTACTTTGTTCCCAGTTCTCGTTGTCTCATCCACTCTACAACATTCTGCAGAACTTGAGGAAAAATATCAGCTTTGTCAACAATGTCCTAAGGGAACAAAAAAACCCCCAAAAAAACAAAAAAACAACCAACAAAACCAACAAAGTAAGGAACATTTTTTCAGAAAAAAATCCCTCAGCATTAAGTGTATAAACTGTATTGGTATATGGGCAATTAAAAACTTGGCTTCATCAAAACCTTTACAAAACCAGATAACACGTTAACAGATGACTGGGCAGGTTTTTCTAAACTGAAAAGACTGGGCAGGTTTTTCTAAACACAAAAGCACTGCTAGAAGAGCCCACCTCCTAATAGCTTCTGTAAAGGTAACAAGGTTAGTCTGTAGTTGAGCCTGGATTAAAACCTTTGAGGTTGTTTCCCAGGCTTCTTCTTAATTCACTTATCACAAGCCATTGCCATCCCAAGACTCTAAACTCTTCAGAGCAAAAATATTAGGAGAGGAACTGATACAATTCAAAAGGTCCTTTGCCCTACTAAAGATTACATTTCTCCACATGAATTTTAAAGAGACTATTTTTCCCTGCAAAATGACCAACTTAGTGAAATCAGCTCTATGATAATTGGGAGAGGGAAAAAAACAAGATAATAGGCCTTACAGAAAAATAACCATGAAAGACTACCATTTAAAGTTACCAGTCTGAACACATCAACAACACATCCCTTTTTTGTTTCCTATTTCTTCCTGAAGAAAGGAAAGTGCAAATTACCTGGGTTATTCCTGTCAGACTGATGCAGAAGTCTGAAAGCTTGGGATTAATCTCTGGCTTCACGTATTGCTGAAAGGTATCCTCCTGTAACAGGAGAATCAATCTCTCAGCTGCAGCACACTCTGCAGCCTGCAAGGCAACTTCTCTGGCTCGCCTGCAGCCCAGAGGCAACAGCAGCTACTTGTCCTGCTGCAGGCAAAAAGGAATGTGCACCTCCTGAGCCAGCAGGAGCCTCCTGAGTGGCCATCATCAGATTCCTAACAGGACAGGTGGCTTTCCAACCTGAACATGGCCCTCCTCTCAGCCAGTAGGTACCAAAGAGTGGGAATGTGGGAATGTATTTTCTATAAAACTTATTTTGATTCTTAAATGATAATGATTTATCATATTTGGGATCAATTTTCTACTAATAGCATAATACTACATCTTTTTTCTAACTGTTGCAAAAAAAAGCAATAGCAAATCCTCCAGGTTTATGAATTCCAAAAGGGTCAAGACCAAGACATTTGTTTAACTAAGACAGGATGGTAACTTGATGTCCTCCCATAAATTTTTCTTAAAGAAATAGAAGACTGTATTAAAAAACACATAGGTTTAACCTGAGACCAAAAAGAAGAATTAGAAATGAAGTTTTGGTTCCATCATCACATTATTCCCTCATTTGGTCATTTTCTGAAGGGACTGCCAGGGTGGATGACTACCCCCAACCCCCCACAGTCCTGGCATTGCTAACTACTTCTTTCCAGTGATATATTCCACTATTATTTAAAATAACATATTTTCTGTTATACTTCCAACATGAAGGAAAAGATGTCACTAAAAGTGGTGTAATAGCTTGCAAATACACAGAGAGATCTGCTGAACCTTTGGCAAATGTTACCTTAAGAAACACAACCCTGAAGACGTATGTTGGGGAGCATTGCTGTGAGAAATGAAGAAGCATCCTTTCACTCCTTCTCCCTGACATCAAGCAGAAATGAGAAAGGGAAGTGTGACAGAGGTCACACACAAAAGTGAAGAGCTCTGTAGAAACATCTTTGGATTCTAATCTGGACTGACAGCTATCCTATTTGTTACTAGTGCTATGTATAATGGACACATAACTCCTGCTTTAAAGTCAGAATAACCCTCTGTTTGAATGTGTTAAGTACAAAATTAGTAGGCCTCATTCCTGCCTCCTGAATCAAAGTACACAAGAATCAACAATCTACTTGGGCAAGTAGTGGTTCAAGATAACATGCTAAAAAATGCAGCAAAATTTCCACAAAGTAAATTGAATTATTCATGCAATTCTAAGAGAATTATCACATCTATTACATGAATGCCCTTAGGGAAATTATTAATATTAATATTAATGTATACATTTATACTGTTGAGACATTGTAACATGTGGATCACAAAGAAAATTAAGGCAACCCTTCACCAAATGCAGAAATTGTTTTCTATACATGTTTCATTGGGCTTGGATGTATAGTTTAAGTGTAATTGATATAATCACACTTTTACGTTCACAACATCAATTAGATGTGTATTTATCTATTTCTAAAGCTGATTTTTTTCATGCCTTTTCAGTTGTAAAACTGCCCAGATATTAATACTTTTATCCATATCCTTCCCCAGAAAAGCATACATGTCAGACCTCAAGGTTAATTTTTGCACCAGAAATTTAGACATCATTTATTATCTGGTATGTTTTTTCTCTATTAGCTCCTGGAGAAGAACACTGCCACTAATCCAGTAAGAGGTAAGATTTCTAAAACAGCATCTAGGTAATGCTGCAGAACCCTTAAAATGGATAAAAAAGTACTGTTTTCTTGGGTCACAGATCAAGATAGGTCTCTAGCCCTTTGCCACTGGAGATGGAGAAAGAAATGGCAAAAATGGTCCTCCTAGAGAAAGAAGAAAGGCATCATTGCAAGAATGATATTTATAGGGACTTCTAAATTCTCTTTTGGTGGTGTCCTATAATGGTATAAATCTTGTGCAAAGGGGAGAGAAATAATGGGTAATAGATGAAACAAGGGAAAATATAAATTAGAGGAATATTTAGAATTCCCATGGAGTTTCTTTTCAATGGGTACTGAATATTTGCAGCACAATGCACCATAACACAATTCTGCTCCAGCAAACAGTCTGCTGCTAATACAGACCAAAATATCCGGAAGGGAAACGGAATCTTGCGAACCCGAAAAGGAAAGGTTTACAAACACTCTGGAAAGGAGATAGGATCTAATGAAATGCAACAGAAAAAACCCCAAAAAAACAGAAAATTGGGAAATTTAGCGACAACCAGGAAATGGCCTCTGATGAAATGAGCTGCAGTGCAAAGGAACAAAAGATGCCAAAACTAAGCTCACAGATGTTGCTAAAGCAGGGGAAAAAGTCAAGGAGGAAGACACAACTTGGAGGGGAAGAAATGAGGGACATGGCATGGATACTAGAAAAAAACAAAAGAAAAATACCTCTCCCAAAGTCAAAGCCATCAAAAGGCAGGCCATATGCCATCAAGAGCAGGTACATGCAGCAAAGCTTGCCAAAATTGATCCCTGCAGAAGGCCAAAACAGAAAAGAAGGACTTACAAACACATTGGAATGGAGCTACCATCAAAGGAATCACAGTTGGAGGAGAAAAAAAGAAATTTGGGAAATTTAGTGACTATGAAAAATGGACCGGGATTATATGAGGAGCAGTGCGAAGGACCAAAAGATGCCAAAACTAAGCTCACAGATGTTGCCAAAGCAGGGGAAAAAGGCAAGGAGGAAGACACAACTTGGAGGGGAAGATATGAGGGACATGGCATGGATACTTAAAAAAAAAAAAAAAAAAAGAATCTCTCCAAAGTCAAAGCCATCAAAAGGCATGGCATGCCACGAAGTGCAGGGACATGTACCAAAGATTCCTCTATTGGTCCCCATTGAAATTTCATTTCCTTTCAGGAAGGGAAAGGGAATCTTGCGAACCCAAAAAGAAAGGCTTACAAACGCTCTGGAAAGGAGATAGGAACAAATGAAATGCAATTGAAAAAACCCCAAAAAAACCAGAAAATTGTGAGTTTTAGCCTCTTCAAAAAATAGCCTATTTTTAGTGTCTTCAAAAAATGCCTGCATCAAGTGCAGGCACATGAAGCAAAGCTTGCCAAAATTGATCCTTACTGAAGGCCAAAACAGAAAAGAAGGACCTAGGAACACTCTGGAATGGTGATACCACCAAGGGATATAATATGGAAGGAAAAATAAAAGAAATTCGGGAAATTTTGTGACTACAAGAAAATGGACAAGAATTATATCAGGTGCAGTGCGAAGGACCAAAAGAGGCCCAAACTCAGCTCACAGATGTTGCCAAAGCAGGGGAAAAATCAAGGAGGAAGACACAACTTGGAGGGCAAGATATGAGGGACATGGCATGGATGCTTAAAAAAAAAATCTTTCCCAAAGTCAAAGCCCTCAAAAGGCACGGCATTATGTACTAAAAATTAGTGGACAGGATGGAATTTGTTTACCTTTCATAACTCATTTGTGTGTTCATGATATTCTGTGTAATTGCTGATTGTGCTGAGGGGTTTCCAGAAGTTCAAAGGGCTGTGGGATGTGATATGTGTGGCACAAAAGAGGTCAAAAGGCACAGTAGTGTTATGGGTTCAATGTTCAGCACTCACAGATCTGTTTAGCGGAATGACCATTTGAAGTGATAAGCCTGTTCTTTGGGGAATATTTTTCAGAGTTGTACTGTAATATACCATGGGACTTGGTGTGGAAAGTATATTAAAAGTACAAGAACATTTGCCAAAAATGAAAAAGCATCCATGGAAGCTCTAAGAGTGTTACATCATTATAAGAAAGCTATCTACTGCTTTATATAATATGCTTCAGAGCAGCAGCAGCAGCAGGACTGGTTTCCCTGCTGGGCTTTGCTGGAAGCTGCAGCATTCACCCAACTGGGACAGGGGCAGAGAGGAGAGGGCCCAGTTCACTGAGGGAGATGAAGGTGGGAGGCAGCAGCAGAGGAGGGGCAAAGGCCTTTGCTCACTGCTGAGAACAAGGGTGTGGTGGAAGGGATGTGATGTGAGGGGGAGTTCCCCCTGTCCTCTGGAAACACTTTTGATTGAGTGCACTGCATGGGACGAGTTTGACAGAAAACCTTTATTAGTAAAAGCATTTTCCTGGGAGAGACATCCTTTTATGTCCTGTCTGGGCACAGCAGGACCAGCAGTGACAGCAGCACAGGTGAGTTCCTCATTCTCTTCTCCTGGTGCCCCACAAGGAGAGGTGCTGGGTGAGAAGGGCCCGGGCCAGGAAAGCATCAGCTGTGCTGGTCCCTCTGCTCGGCTTCCTTGGCCGTGTCCCTCAGAAGAGCAGGACAGTGCGGATACTGAAAGGTGGAAGGGAAGGGAGGGTTGGCTGCAGCTCAGGAGCAGGCAGTGTGGCAGGCAGGTGTGCCTGGGGACCAGCCACCTTCTCTGTCATGCAGCCTCTTCCTGACTGAGCTGCATGAGGCGTGCAGCAGCGGGGCAGCCTTCAAATCCCTGCTGAGGGGAGGCCCTCACGGGATAAGGCCACAGGATCTGTGCTTTGAAATCACAAGATATGGTTTCCCTTTCCAAAAGGAAATTATTTTATTACCCTTCCCAAACGGAAATGATTTTATTTTGGGAAAGGAAATGAAATCTTGCGATTTCAATGGGGATCAATTTTGGCAAGCTTTGTTGCATGTCCCTGCGCTTGATGGCATATGGCCTGCCTTTTGATCGCATTGTGTGGAGGGATAGAATGTAAGAAAATAAGGATAGTGCAGAAGGCAGTCTCACACCTGAGGAGTTGCAGCTGTACTAATCACCAAAGATTAGGAACAGGCCTGCCCTTAACAGGCCACAGCTGTGTCTGATTATGATGAGTGCTATAGAAGATTGGGTTAGCTGGGTGAGGAGAGAGTTGGAGCTTTTTGGTTGTGGTGTGGGGAGAGCTGGAGTTTGTTGGCTGTACTATGAAGAAGCAGAAGGAGTCAGTGCTGTGAGGAGATGCCCATGAGAAATCACCCAGAGGGTATGGGACTTTTGTAATAAGATGACAACAATTGGTGAGCCTGATGTGATTCTGACATGATCCTGTGGTGGTTTGGGAAAAAGGACTTAAATATTAAGCAATGTGATCCCAAGGTGATTCAGGAAGATGAATGCAGACCTAAGAGAAATTAGACGGTGGAGTCAGGCAGACCAGGAGTCTGAGAGCCTAAAAATCCAGATGAGCTATAGCCAGGCAGACCTGGGAGCCTAGAAGTCAGGACAAGGTATGAGATACCAGCCCCAAGAAGAAGAGTGCTGGATATGAGGAGTGGACACTATACACTTTGCTTAGTTGGTGCATTGGAGCAAGCCCCATGCCCCCTGCCAAGATATGGCCGCAGTCCAGAGGGGACACAGGATGGTGCCGGGCTCCCCCGGAATGGCAGTGTGTGCAGCAGGACACAATGGGAAATAACATATGGGTTGCTAAGTTGCTGCTACACAAGCACTGGAACAAAGGCAACATGGAGCTCTGAGGCAGAGTCAGAGCTGCACAGACAATATGTAAGAGAAGCCCTCTAAAACTGTAGAGTGACCATCTCCACAGTAACCCGATGTGATTCGGGATTGGGCTGTAGGGTGAGGTGCAGCTGGAGATGGAGCCCAGCATAGCACTGAGAACAGCAGGGGAGGCTGCCTGATCCGGACCTGACAGATTTTGACACCTGGAGTACAGGTGAGTTGCTGGGGACACAATGGGAAATAACATATTAAGTGAAGAACATATTGTTTAATCTACATGGAAAACAGAGCAGGGCAACAGAGGCTTACAGTGACCAACTAATATAACAAAACACTGTAAAAGGAAGAAGAGACTTATTAAAACAGCAGTGTGAGCTGGGGACAGAGTACCTCTGTCATTCAGTATGGTGTATTTGTTTGCTGATGAAACATGTGCATTTTGTTTTTGAATTGCAGCTATTTATCTTCAATTAGGCATAAGTGTAAAAGTTTATATTCCGTAAGCATAAGTACACTTGACAGATACTGCCTTGATGTTGTTCAAGTTGTATAGTTATTGATAAAATTATGTAACTGTTGAATGGTTACTATCCTAATATATAGCCTTTAGCTTATGCTTGTGAGTTGCCTTATGAAGTTGTACAGCTATTGACATTGTCAATATTCTTGAAGTGTAAGTGTAAGAGTTTCTGATAGTATGTAATGTAAGTTCGAGTAATGAACCAAGGTCAGTGCACAGACCCATTCCAGAGTTAAATAGAAATTGCACAAAAGATGATTGTACTGGGTTTACTGTCTTTTGCAAAGGGCACTGCAAAAGACAGTAAACACAACATTAGTTTATGAAAAGCCTTAGGTTAATGCTCTAGACTGTGAAAAGCAAAACTAAATCACAACTTAGACAGGTATGTTCTTGCTGTGACATGTTGCCTGAACATTTGTATACTGTTAGTCCGAAGTGAGATATGCGAATATGTTATAATATCAATTTACTTGAATGTATCTTTCTAGAGATGCTTCAACTTTGTAATTAAAAGAAAAGGGGAATTGTGGAGGGATAGAATGTAAGAAAATAAAGATAGTGCAGAAGGTAGTGTCACACCTGAGGAGCTGCAGCTGTACTAATCACCAAAGATTAGGAACAGGCCTGCCCTTAACAGGCCACAGCTGTGTCCAATAATGATGACTGCTGTAGAAGAGTAGGCTAGGTGGGTGAGGAGAAAATTGGAGTTTTTGGTTGTGCTGTGAGGAGAGACAGAGTTTGTTGGATGTACTGTGAAGAAGAAGGAGTCAGTGCTGTGCGGAGCTGCCCATGAGAAATGACCGAGAGGGTATGGGAAAATTCACAATAAGATGGCAGCACCTTAGACTTTGAGGAAGATTTTTTTTTAAGTATCCAAGCAATGTCACTCCTATCCTCCCCTCGAAGCTATGCCTTCCTGTCTTCCTCCTTGATAATTTCCCCTGACTTTGATGTATTTCTGAATTTATTTTGGCCTGCTTTGGTCCTTTGCACTGCGGCTCATTACCTCACAGGCCATTTCTTAAAGGAACTAGATTTACCGACTTTCTGGGTTTTTTGGGTTTTTTCATTTGCATTTCGTTTGATGATACCTCCATTCCAGTGTGTTTGTAAGTCCTTCTTTTATGTATGTTCTGTTTTGGCCTTCAGCTGGGATCAATTTTGGCAAGCTCCGCTGCATCTACCTGCATGTGAAGGCCTCACTTATGATGGATTTGACTTGGAAAGTGTTTTATTTTGTGGGGATTTTTTTTTTGGGTTTTTTTTTTGGTTTTTTTTAAGTATCCAGGCCATATCCTTCATATTTCCCCTCCAAGTTGTGTCATCCTCCTTGACTTTTCCCCCTGCTTTGGCAAAATCTGTGAGCTTAGTTTTGGCATCTTTTGGCCCTTTGCATTGCTCTTGATAATCCCGGGTCATGTTTTATAGTCACTACATTTCCCAGATTTTTTTTTTTCTCTCTTAATTTCAATTCCCTTGATGGTATCTCCATTCCAGTCTGTGTGTAAGTCCTTTTTTTCTGTCTTGGCCTTCAGTGGGGATCAATTTTGGCAACCTTTGCTGCATGTGCCTGCACTTGATGGCATATGGCCTGCCTTTTCATGGCCTTGATTTTGGGAGAGATTTTTTTTTGTTTGTTTGTTTGTGTTTTTAAGTATCCATGCCATGTCTCTTATATCTTCTCCTCCAAGTTGTGTCTTCCTCCTTGACTTTTTCCCTTGCTTTAGCAACATCTGTGAGCTTTGTTTTGGCACGTTTTGGTTCTTTGCAATGCAGCTCATTGCCTCACAGGCCATTTCTTGAAGACACTAAAACACCCCAATTTCAGGTTTTTTTGGGGTGGTTTTCAACTTTTTTTCATTTGTTCCTATCTCCTTTCCAGAGCCTTTGTAAGCCTTTCTTTTTGGGTTCGCAAGATTCCGTTTCCCTTCCCGAAAGGAAATTTCATTTCCTTTCGGGAAGGGAAACGGAATCTTGCGATTTTAATGGGGACTAATAGAGGAATCATTGGTGCATGTCCCTGCCCTGGATGACATGCCATGCCTTTTGATGGCTATTACTTTGGGAAAGATTTTTTTCTTTTTTTTTTTTCTTGTTTTTAAGCATCCACGCCATGGCTCTTATATCTTCCCCACCAAGAGTTTTCTTCCTCCTTGACTTTTTCCTCTGCTTTTGCTACGTCTCTGAGCTTAGTTTTGGCATGTTTTGGTTTTTTGCACTCTTCTGATATAATCCCGGGCCATTTTCATATGGTCACTGAATTGCCCAAATTTCCCAATTTTTTTTTCTTTCTCCTCCAATTGCAATTCCTTTGATGGTATCTCCATTCCAGCGTGTTTTTAAGTCCTTCTTTTATCTTTTGGCCTTCAGCGGGGATCAATTTTGGCAAGCTTTGCTGCATGTGCCTGCACTTCATAGCGTATGGGAAAGATTTTTTTTTTTTTTTTTTTTTCATGTATCTATGCCATATCTCTTATATCTTCTCTTCAAAGTTATGTTGTCCTCCTTGACTTTTTCCTCTACTTTTGCTACGTCTCTGAGCTTAGTTTTGGCCTGTTTTGGTTTTTTGCACTCTTCTGATATAATCCCGGGCCATTTTCATATGGTCACTGAATTGCCCAAATTTCCCAATTTTTTTTTTTTTCTCCTCCAATTGCAATTCCTTTGATGGTATCTCCATTCCAGCGTGTTTTTAAGTCCTTCTTTTATCTTTTGGCCTTCAGCGGGGATCAATTTTGGCAAGCTTTGCTGCATGTGCCTGCACTTCATAGCGTATGGCAAAGATTTCTTCATTTTTTTTTTAATTTATTTTAAGCAACCATGCCATGTCTCTTATATCTTCTCCTCCAAGTTGGGTCTTCCTCCTTGACTTTTTCCCTTGCTTTAGCAACATCTGTGAGCTTTGTTTTGGCCCGTTTTGGTCCTTTGCAATGCAGCTCATTGCCTCACAGGCCATTTCTTGAAGACACTAAAACACCCCAATTTCAGGTTTTTTTGGGGTGGTTTTCAACTTTTTTTCATTTGTTCCTATCTCCTTTCCAGAGCCTTTGTAAGCCTTTCTTTTTGGGTTCGCAAGATTCCGTTTCCCTTCCCGAAAGGAAATATTTCCTTTCGGGAAGGGAAACGGAATCTTGCGATTTTAATGGGGACTAATAGAGGAATCATTGGTGCATGTCCCTGCCCTGGATGACATGCCATGCCTTTTGATGGCTATTACTTTGGGAAAGATTTTTTTCTTTTTTTTTTTTCTTGTTTTTAAGCATCCACGCCATGGCTCTTATATCTTCCCCACCAAGAGTTTTCTTCCTCCTTGACTTTTTCCTCTGCTTTTGCTACGTCTCTGAGCTTAGTTTTGGCATGTTTTGGTTTTTTGCACTCTTCTGATATAATCCCGGGCCATTTTCATATGGTCACTGAATTGCCCAAATTTCCCAATTTTTTTTTTTTTCTCCTCCAATTGCAATTCCTTTGATGGTATCTCCATTCCAGCGTGTTTTTAAGTCCTTCTTTTATCTTTTGGCCTTCAGCGGGGATCAATTTTGGCAAGCTTTGCTGCATGTGCCTGCACTTCATAGCGTATGGGAAAGATTTTTTTTTTTTTTTTTTTTTTTCATGTATCTATGCCATATCTCTTATATCTTCTCTTCAAAGTTATGTTGTCCTCCTTGACTTTTTCCTCTACTTTTGCTACATCTCTGAGCTTAGTTTTGGCCTGTTTTGGTTTCTTGCAGTGTTCTGATATAATCCCGGGCCATTTTCATATGGTCACTGAATTGCCCAAATTTCCCAATTTTTTATTTTTTCTCCTCCAATTGCAATTCCTTTGATGGTATCTCCATTCCAGCGTGTTTTTAAGTCCTTCTTTTATCTTTTGGCCTTCAGCGGGGATCAATTTTGGCAAGCTTTGCTGCATGTGCCTGCACTTCCTAGCGTATGGGAAAGATTTCTTCATTTTTTTTTTTAATTTATTTTAAGCAACCATGCCATGTCTCTTCTATCTTCTCCTCCAAGTTGGGTCTTCCTCCTTGACTTTTTCCCTTGCTTTAGCAACATCTGTGAGCTTTGTTTTGGCCCGTTTTGGTCCTTTGCAATGCAGCTCATTGCCTCACAGGCCATTTCTTGAAGACACTAAAACACCCCAATTTCAGGTTTTTTTGGGGTGGTTTTCAACTTTTTTTCATTTGTTCCTATCTCCTTTCCAGAGCCTTTGTAAGCCTTTCTTTTTGGGTTCGCAAGATTCCGTTTCCCTTCCCGAAAGGAAATTTCATTTCCTTTCGGGAAGGGAAACGGAATCTTGCGATTTTAATGGGGACTACTAGAGGAATCATTGGTGCATGTCCCTGCCCTGGATGACATGCCATGCCTTTTGATGGCTATTACTTTGGGAAAGATTTTTTTCTTTTTTTTTTTTCTTGTTTTTAAGCATCCACGCCATGTCTCTTATATCTTCCCCACCAAGAGTTTTCTTCCTCCTTGACTTTTTCCTCTGCTTTTGCTACGTCTTTGAGCTTAGTTTTGGCATGTTTTGGTTTTTTGCACTCTTCTGATATAATCCCGGGCCATTTTCATATGGTCACTGAATTGCCCAAATTTCCCAATTTTTTTTTTTTTCTCCTCCAATTGCAATTCCTTTGATGGTATCTCCATTCCAGCGTGTTTTTAAGTCCTTCTTTTATCTTTTGGCCTTCAGCGGGGATCAATTTTGGCAAGCTTTGCTGCATGTGCCTGCACTTCATAGCGTATGGGAAAGATTTTTTTTTTTTTTTTTTTTCATGTATCTATGCCATATCTCTTATATCTTCTCTTCAAAGTTATGTTGTCCTCCTTGACTTTTTCCTCTACTTTTGCTACATCTCTGAGCTTAGTTTTGGCCTGTTTTGGTTTCTTGCAGTGTTCTGATATAATCCCGGGCCATTTTCATATGGTCACTGAATTGCCCAAATTTCCCAATTTTTTTTTTTTTCTCCTCCAATTGCAATTCCTTTGATGGTATCTCCATTCCAGCGTGTTTTTAAGTCCTTCTTTTATCTTTTGGCCTTCAGCGGGGATCAATTTTGGCAAGCTTTGCTGCATGTGCCTGCACTTCCTAGCGTATGGGAAAGATTTTTTTTTTTTTTTTTTTTCATGTATCTATGCAATATCTCTTATATCTTCTCTTCAAAGTTATGTTGTCCTCCTTGACTTTTTCCTCTACTTTTGCTACATCTCTGAGCTTGGTTTTGTCTGTTTTGGTTTCTTGCAGTGTTCTGATATAATCCCGGGCCATTTTCATATGGTCACTGAATTGCCCAAATTTCCCAATTTTTTTTTTTTTCTCCTCCAATTGCAATTCCTTTGATGGTATCTCCATTCCAGCGTGTTTTTAAGTCCTTCTTTTATCTTTTGGCCTTCAGCGGGGATCAATTTTGGCAAGCTTTGCTGCATGTGCCTGCACTTCATAGCGTATGGGAAAGATTTTTTTTTTTTTTTCATGTATCCATGCCATGTCTCTTCTATCTTCTCCTCCAAGTTGTGTCTTCCTCCTTGACTTTTTCCCTTGCTTTAGCAACATCTGTGAGCTTTGTTTTGGCCCGTTTTGGTCCTTTGCAATGCAGCTCATTGCCTCACAGGCCATTTCTTGAAGACACTAAAACACCCCATTTTCAGGTTTTTTTGGGGTGGTGTTCAACTTTTTTTCATTTGTTCCTATCTCCTTTCCAGAGCGTTTGTAAGCGTTTCTTTTTGGGTTCGCAAGATTCCGTTTCCCTTCCCGAAAGGAAATTTCATTTCCTTTCGGGAAGGGAAACGGAATCTTGCGATTTTAATGGGGACTACTAGAGGAATCATTGGTGCATGTCCCTGCCCTGGATGACATGCCATGCCTTTTGATGGCTATTACTTTGGGAAAGATTTTTTTCTTTTTTTTTTTTCTTGTTTTTAAGCATCCACGCCATGGCTCTTATATCTTCCCCACCAAGAGTTTTCTTCCTCCTTGACTTTTTCCTCTGCTTTTGCTACGTCTTTGAGCTTAGTTTTGGC